GTTATATGCAAGGGCTGTGAAAATCTAAACAAAGTCATAAAATAAATTCATATTGAAAATTAAAAATTAATCTAACATACATTCGCAGCATGCCACATAACACCTTATTCGGACTGAAGCTGGTTCCTATGAAACACTAAAATCTTCAACGATAGTACACTAAATGAACCAATAAAATACAAAAGAATACAAAGCAGCTAAAAGAATGGTGATAAGATAATCATCAAGGGCACTAATTTCAAAAGAATACACTTTTTAAGATTACATAACAGCTTTATTATGTTGATACACTAAATTCGTCATTTAAAAATAACAATAAAATGCTAATTAAAGACACCATCACTGGAGGTTGTATTTAACTTATGTTTTTTTTTACATTGGCTATAGGAAAACAAATAATCAAAAAATGATAAAACCGGCAATTAAAAAAATAAAGTGATGAAACTTCATAATTTAACCTTAAACATGCTTATATATACATATTTTTTAATTCAACTATAATATAAAAGAAGTCAACATAATAATATGCTGAATAAAATAGAACAAACAAAAACTACTAATAAAATCAGCTAGTTATAGCAAATTTACATTATCTGGTTCAACAGACATTCACTCATTTATCAGCAACAAAAAAAAAAAATAAACTACAGCCAATTCTAACATAAATTTAAGATCCGAAAATTAATCTTACATGTATGTTATAATGTGTCATAATAATAAACAAGTAATGCACCAAATTAAAAACTAAACATTGACACAATCACTCACTGTCACACGTCAAGCGGTTACTGCAGTAACAGCGACTGTAACCTTCGACTTAAAATTGATAGTCCAAAGAGATATGACTTTAACTTTTCTTCTACTTAAACTATTTGCATTTTGAAACGGCCCCAAGCATAAATTTTGGTTTAAAGAAGTAAATTTATTAATAATGAATCATTTCAAAAAGTAAACAAATCAAACCATATGAGGCGAAAACATTGTTTTATCCATTATTGTAAAATTTTCTATTACCTCACTTCAGTTAAATGTTTTACCGATGTGTAATTTTAAAGCATAAATACCAAACGAGCTTACTTATTATTAAATAATTAATAAATGTAAACGTAAATAAAGATGTAAAAGTGATTAAATTCTTCTTGGATTTGGGGAAAATCCAGGACCCAAACTTGGGAGGGACAAAGGGGACACTTGTCCCGGGTGGCTGAATGTGGGGGGCCAATTTCAAGGGGAATCGTTTTGTAAGCTTAACAAACTTCTTTATTAAGAAAAAAATTGAGAAAAGTTGTTAAGCTTTTTGGTCCTAGTTCAGTCAGCAAAATAATGATTGTAAGTTATAAGATAATGATATTTATTTCGAAATACAGTACCGAAAATGTGAACTTTTGGCATTTATTGTGGAGCTAATGGAAGGTGCGAGAAGGGGTGAAAAATGTATCCTTGCTCCTCCTGCCAAAAACGATGTTCCGACCCTGGGAAGATCACTTATCAAGTAGAAATTTCTTCAATTAGACTCACTGAAAGAAGATTTTCGAAATTTTCATTGCATCTATCAAGGCCAAAGACGAAAATTAACTAATCATAATTTGACTGATCACATAAATCATGGTGTATTTGATCTTGTTAAGGAATTCTCGTCATATGGAGAAGCTATAGTTAGGTTATATTCCTTGTCTATAAAATCCAGAAAGAAATATGAGTTCGATACAAGTGGATAGCTCATCATTAAGGAGCTCATAGCATTAAGAAATGTAGGTGTGGATTGCGCCTTTCGAACTGTTACAGGCGATATATACAGAGATGAATTAATCTGAAATGTAACCCGATTATCTAAATCAACGAGTTACATAAGCTAGATATAACTGTCAGTGAGAAAGACCAAAATGAGCATGACCAGACCTTAAAAAAATTCCTTAAAATCTGCAAAAAGTATTATCTAACAATTAAAAACCAGAAATCTCAACTAAATTAAAAATCTATCGTAATCCTTGGTGACCAGTTAGCAAATAACACACCACCTTAGAATCTCGATCGACTTTTTAAATTTCTATACAAGTACTTTTTAAATCTGCTTTCTGGAAAAAAAAATATTGAGTAGCTTGACTTACTTAATTTACTATCGAGCTTCTAATTCAACTAACATTCACGACAACGAATTTTTCAGAAAAGTTGATTTTGAACAAACACAGCCAGCTTCAGAAACTAAAATGATTGTTATGGATGTAGTAATTTTACTCACTATAACGACATATAGGTTATTATTTATTTTTATTTGAGAAGATATATAGATAAGCTTCAGGGTCACTGTTTTATTCACTTTTTTAAGAAGGTTCCTATTCAATTATGATGAAGCGTAATGCATAAAACTAAAGTTTTGAAAAACATCATAGTCGATAATAAATTATCAGGTTCTAAAACATAATTGGTACCAGTACTTAGAAAACAAATATTTTATAAATTGTTCTATCATCGCTGAAAAAGGATTCACGGTAGCATCCCGAATACATTTGTTAAGGACATATGGGAGATTTGTTTATTCTTTGAACATGCGTAGCAAAAGAATAAGTTTCTATCGCATGTAATAATAATTTGAACGAGGTACTGTTGCCATTATTCAAGATAATTTACCTATGCATTATCTCTGTCTTTACGGAGTCCTAGAGAAAACATTGAATACAATAATACAGATATGTCAGCAAGTACTATTTATTTGTGAAACTTTGGATCTTTTATTTAATTGTTCTCTTTTTATCTCCTACATCGGTTTTTTTTTTTTTTTTTTTTTTTTTTTTGTCAGGAGACAAAAGTTCTTCCGGCACTTCTGAGATTCGAACTCGTTATCTTCGGTTTATGAGGTTACTGGGGAACGCTTATTTTACACATGTCTGAACCCGCTCGGCCTCTCCTCCTAGATAGTCCTGAACCCCAGTGGCTAAAAAGGTGCCACAGTTCATACTAAGGTTTGTTCTTATAAATTAATCATATCCACAGGCCTGGTAAAAACAATGCATGTCTGCCAGCATTTAGCCGCTGGAGTACAATATGACGGCCATGTAAAGATAGAATAGACCCTACATAGGTTGTAAGCGTATATAGATATATAAAGCTACAAACCCTTTCAATTTATAGTATTTAAAATTTTAAGACCTGAAATAATAGTCAGTTACTCGTAGATTTCAAGTCGAAAAATTGAATTTACGATTCAAAAATTTTCTTTTTTTGGTTTTTCCCTGATATCAGTGAAACTATGCGTTTTATCTAGAATAATGTTATATGTGAAATTAAAGTTGACAAAATTTTCAATAGAAATGGTAATATTATTTTTTATACTATATTCTATAGTTCTCGTGATATCCGTCTTCGTAACTCATTATTTCCGAAAAAAAAAATATTGTCATTGCATTTTTGTCATTATTTGACCCTCCAACACTTTACCTTTCATTTTACAAAAAATTCATAAGGAAGAAAGTTGTTTAATATTAAATTTTCTATAAGAATATATATATATATATATATATATATATATATATATATATATATATATATATATATATATATATATATTTCCCATTCCCGTATCATTTCCCAATTAAATAGTTAAGTTTAAATATATATATATATATATATATATATATACTTTAGTATCTTATATTCAATAATAACTTAATGATTTAACTCCGAAACTATACAGAATAACTTACTTTTCGCAGTTTTCGATATTACACAGCTCTTAATCTGTTTTAAGACAACATACATGTGTATACATTGGCTTACATAATATACATATATATACTATCTAATATACAGATTAAGAGCTGCGTAATAACGAAAATTGCCAAAAGTAAGTTATTCTGTATAGTGAGATCCACGGGTACGGCGTAACTGACTACTATTTCATGTCTTAAGACTGTAAATACTATGAATCGAAAAGGTTGGTAGCTTTATATATATATATATATATATATATATATAATATATATATATATATATATATATATATATATATATATATATATATTATATATATATATATAATAATATATATATATATATATATATATATATATATACACGCTTACAACCTATGTAGGATCTCTATCTATAATCACATGACCGCCATTTTGTATTCCAGCGGCTATATGTTGGCAGACGTGCATTTATCTGATCAGGCCTGTAGGTATGATCAATTTATAAGGCTAGTATGAAACATGACACCTTTTTTGGCACAGACTCCCGAACTAAGAGGTGCCCATACCCCACTAGGTCGATGCCGCATGAATTTCACTTTAAGTCCCAAGAAATATTTTTTTTCCCCTCTTTTCTAAAACAGTTCAAGAGAAAGTAGCATTTTCACCCTCCCCCCATTGTTTCCCTTGTTCGCTGTATTGAAACTTTATCGAAATGTGCCCTCCGCTAAAAATTCAAAATCCAGTAAAAATGGGCTCCCCTCAAAAATTTTGATGGCTCAATTCGCTCCATGAAACCCCCTTCTGGGCACCCCTGTCTCTGCCTCCCGAGATCAGAGATCTTAAGGAATTTTGAATATCTAAAGAATTTTAATTTTATTTGAAGTTGATACCTTTGTGGAAAAATAGCTTCTTTTTTACCCATGTTCCGGTTGGTAGATCATTTCCAAAAAACCGATGGTTCTTAATACCTATCCTAAGGATTCGGATTACATTTTCTTAAGAATATGGAAAACAAAAAGAAATAGCGAAATTCAAAGACAAAATTTTATTCATAAATGTATTGGAATTTAAAAACGTATTTCCTTATTATTTTAATAATTATAACTTGCAGCACCTCGTTTAAGCAAATTAAAATATCTTCGTCACCTTTCAGTCATTTGACATTATGTAAAAATATAGAATCTACCTTCTATTATTTTGCCTGTCTTTGGAAGGCCTTATTTATTATTATGGTTAAAATATTATATTTTTGTAAACATGTATATATCTTCGATTAATTACCAAACATCATAGGTAGCGTTTAATAAAGTTAAACCATTTTGATGAATTATACCTCTATAATACCAGAACAGTATGAAATTAGCATAAGTATTTATATATACATAAAAGAGTTTGTTTTATTTGATGCTCTTAATATGTTTTTTCATCGATAAACAAGTTCGAAATTGACATAATAGAAATTTATTTAAAAAATATAAATTGTCAATAAAAACAAATGATTTTCGAATTTTACCTTTTTACATACAATGATTTACTATATTAAACAGTGTTAATATAATATAAAAAAAAAAAAACAGTCTACGAAGGACAGTGATCCGTTCTTTCGACTAATCTAAGGTGAATTGGTCCTTCTGTAGCAGTGATAAGTATACATTTTGGTGAGAAATCAAGAGGTATCTCCGTTTTGCTGGTTGGTTCAACACGATACTTCTTCAATACGGTTATCAACCCCATCTTCGTCTGCAATAAACCAAATCTCTTACCTAAAAATGATAAATTTCATTGTTTTATACTTCTTTGTGCAAAGTATTTGAAAGTATATACAATTTTGTGTGTGGTTAGTGCATAGAGCATGTTTGTATTTAAACAGATGTTTTAGTGCCTGTGGGATTTACTAACCTATACACATCCTGGGTCCTTCCCCAAAGGGCAAATATGAGAAAGGTTTTATTAATGCCATGTTGCCATCGGAGAATCTCTCTGGATCGAATTTTTCTGGCTCTGGAAATAGTAGCGGATCTCTGTGAAGAGCCCAAACCGGAATAAGCACTCTTACTCCTTTATCGATAACGTGACCTGATGGGAGAACGGTTCGTTCAGTACTGAACCTGGTAAGAGAAGGAAGAGTCGGGTATTTCCGCATAGTTTCTGTAACATTAACAACATGAATAGATGCTAACTTAGCGTCAGACATATAATCATTAAATATTCCAAAATATTTATCTGAAAAATTTAATGTTATATTAACGGAATAAATCAATTATGCATCCCATAAATCAAAATATAAATTCCATCTTGAAAAAAGTTTCTATGTTTTAATGGAGTTTAAATATAAGAAATAACTTTATATGTTAATTATAAAAAATGATTCAACGCAAGAACTTATTATAACAACACAATATTCAATTTAATATCGAATTCAGACAATGATAAAATGAATATACTAACCCGCTATAACCATATCCAGAAAAACCATCTTGTGAACAGCTTCATACGTTAATCCACCATAGTGCTCAGTCATGTGGTCAATTTCCTTCTGCACACGGTTCTGAATGTTCTGGTTCAAAGCTAGCTCGTAAAGACAACAGCTTTGCACGGAACCTGATGTCTCGAACCCTGCAGTGAAGAAGACGAAACACTGAGCAGCCATCATCTCCATTGTCATATCTGGAAAGGTGAAGATATGGATGTTTTATAATTCCAAGAAATATCTCAAATCATTTGACAAGTTTTAATCTTGTCATATAACAGATTACAGAGGTGAAATCAATGTCAAAGCTTCAACTTCTGTGTTTATTAATTTTCAAACAAACAAAGTTCTGGGATTTTGAACGGAAAGGGAGTCAAAATAAGACGTAATTATGGTATGCTATGCTGCACTAGAAAGACATGTAAAATTATATTGTTTTACAAACAAGGCACTTATTCTCTTTAAAGGAATGATTTGGCTGTAGCGAAATGGTCATGAACTAATTGACAAATCCGATGAAATACCATACAAGAAATCGGCTTCTTAGAAAAAAAAAATCTTTTTATCGATGAGTACTTAGCAATTAGTATTTCTGATCAAACTCTAATCGATGTTATTGGTACTATTGATGGTACTACGAAGAAAATTTCCACTTTTTGTTTGGCGTTATAACCTTCGTTTCAATGTTTCCAAATGGGCGGCGGTATGTGTGTATAGTTCCTCCACACAAATTTTGTCTGTAATGCTATTTCGAGATTTAGCGGCAAGGTGAATCGTAAAATTTCGAAACAGGTTTAGGATAGTAACGAAAGCGAATTTCTCGGGGTCTAATATACAGTTGAAACAAGTCCTCTGTGTGCTGAAATCACTTAAAGAGAAGAGTCAAACCATTGATAATATACGACATTTTAGATAATCCACGAAACAATGATAATCTATGGTTTTTAATACCACTCTTGATACCAATATGACTCGTTTGATTTGTTGGAAGAAATATTCTTAATCCACGAAATATTATATTTAGCCATGATGTACAAACCTTCATATATGCTATCTCGATGAGGTTAGTATCGAAAGGATTAACTGGCCAGTTCAATACTTTCATCTCAACTGTATCTATATCATGCCTAGGATAAGCTCAAAAGAAGAATCTTACTTAGACCACAGGCGGATCTACGTGGGGAGGCTTTCGGTCTAAAGTCACCCCCCTCTCCACCTCCCCCAGATGGTAAAATATAACCATGTCTTATGAAAAAAATATCTTTAAAAGTATTATTGTTCGTGTAATTATATTTAAAAGTACTTCAAGAATCACTTGAAAGTCATTTCGTTATATATAGAAAAAAAAAAAAAAATTTTCGGATTGAAGCCCCTCTCATCCCCAAAATTCAATCCTTGATCCGTCAGGGACATAGAGTACCAGCTCCTACCAACTAAAGATATCTGGAACAAGCTGAATTGGAATAATGAATGATTAGTCTTCAATCGGACTTTACCAACCTCAATAAAAAATGAGAAACTGTTTACAAAATATGGCCAGTTTGATTGAGATTTCTTAAACTTTCCAGGATTATTATTATTTTTTTAGAATAGACTTCAAGTTGCATTATATAGGTGTAAGTGATAATTATATTAGTGCTTAAATTTTTATGTTTTTGGTACAATTTAATTTCTGTACAATGTTTTAAAAATAAATGATAAAGTATTTTATAATAACAAAATAAAATTAACCTAAATTTAAATAAAATGTTTTATGTGGTGAAATTAGTAGGTGCGTAAAGTAGGTGCGCTGAATTTGATCAGAAGTATATTTTTAATTTTGTATACGCCTAGAATGAAACAAGTAATTAGAACATACTTACCATTCAAGTTCAGCTTTGGAATGTCGTCAGATTTTTTTTTATCTCCATTCATGTACTTCAAAATCATTAAAAGATCAATGAAATCTTTTCTTTTGATACCGTATCTAAGTCTGTGCTCTATGGTACCACTCACCGCTCTCAAGATAAATTTTTCAACAGATTTTGGAGTAAACCTGAAGAATATCAAGAACATATAAGAATATCAGTTACATCATTAATTCCTAATTTTTTAACTATTTCAGAGAAAACTCTATTTTAGCTGGCTGGCTGGCTATTATTTATAGCCCTGCCCCAAAAATCGATCTCTTCGCAAGTGAAGGTTTGATTGTAAATTGCGAAAGTGTGTGTTATTTTGAGTAAAAAGAACCTTGTCTGCCGTTACAGAGCCGCTGCTTTCAAAAATGGTGGCTGATTCAAAAATATTAGGCCAGTAATTTGTGGATTGAAACGGGACATCCATTGCAAAAAATGTGAGAAAAGTTTTTATTTTTTAACTTATATATATATGGGTTTAGACATGTAAAAAACAAAATTTCTAACACGGGTCGCCAAGAAAAGACTTCTTAAAGCCAAAATAAAAATTAATTTTTAAAAACTGAGACAAATTACTATAAATGGCCCTACAACTTGGAAATGAGTTCCTTAAGAGGAGATACCCATATAATCAAAGTTGTAGAGCGTCAAATTTTGTGTCCAGTGAGCACCGACTAATTTAATGTAGGTAACTTACTCCAAACAAAACCGGTAACCTCCCGATGGTTAGAAATAGGTAAAAAAGGTGAAAGTGATTTTCAATATTTTAACGGTATGGATCTACTGAATTATTTTTGTTTAGTCTGTCACATGCAGTATAAGGCTCTTTTGCACCTCTCAGAAGCGGAGGATTTTGAAAAACGATGTATCGAAAGATACCGAATTTCATAAAGAAATAACGAATCTCGAATCGAGATATATAATCGACCTACAGTGAAAATATCAGTACTCATTGGACGCAAACTTTTATGCTCTACAACTTTAATTCAATACGTTTTTTCTCTTAGAGAACTCGTTTTCAAGTTACAGGGCCATTTATATTAATTTGTTTCTGGTTTTGACAAATTTGGTAAACATCAGCGTTGGTTTTATACCTTACCACGTTACTAAATTATAACGTTTATGTACTCGTTCGACGTAAAATTTAATGTTCTATAATTTATTATCGAATATATTTTTCGCTTTGATGTATCGTTAAGGAGTTATAGATGAAAAAAGAAAAATATATCGAAAAAATCTGACTTTTTTGGCTTTTAAAAGTTTCCCTTGGTTGCCAGCGTTAGAAATTTTGTTTTTACATGTATAAACCCATACATGCAAGTTAAAAAAATAAAAAATTTTCTCACATTTGTCACAATGAATTTCCTGTTTTGGTCCTCAAATCTTCGAAAGCAGTGACTCTGGAACGGCAGACAAGTTATTCTTTTTACTCAGAATAACATAGACTTTCGTAATTTATAATCACTTCTCCTGCGATTTGGTCGACTTATTATCATAATCGGGCTACTATTATCATAATCTCTCTATTATACAAAAAAGTTTATAGTGACTGTTATATTTTATTTTCCAGCCTCAACAAATTAAATTCTCTGGAATTCTCTCTACTATATATGAAAGTTTTTAGTGACCGAGCAATATTTTTTTTTCGATCTCAATACATTAAAATTCTGGGATAAAGACTTGAAATTTATTTAATTTTTCCCTGCTTACGCGCTATACAAAAATAATACAATCTGAACTAAAGAATACATGTAAATTACATTATACAATTTTTACAACGAGTTGTAGAATTAAATGAACAGTTGTATAATTTGTAAAATGAAGGTTGGCCCGTCATTTTGCAGGCAGGGGGTATTCCGCTAGTCATATGTTGTTTCAGAGAATTTAATTATTGCACTAATAACAGCCAATAATGATATTGGCTCGTTATTACAATCAATATAACGTACTAAGTCCATGTTATATGATTCTGTCACAACCTATTTTTAATAAAAGTCAATTATAGGGTAACTAATTTCGCTTTATGTTCATAATAAAAAAAAAAAAATAATAACTCAAGTCAAATTCGTCAATCCGCCATGTTTAAAGGGGATTTTGCAATAGCGGGGCCACTTTGTTTTCTGTGAAAATTGTTTTTTTTAATTAACAGTTGCAAGGGATACAACGATATCCAATTTATAGCGATGTGAGGGTTGGTGGTTCCAATGATTAAAATCGTCATACGAACTCTTCATTTTCCCACTCGCAATGTAATTAAAAAAAAAAAAATGTTTGCAGGTCTCCATTAACAAATATAAATGGCAAAAAGAAGGAATAGCTCCTAAAAAAAACAGAAAAAAATACAACTCTAAGAAGTATTGATATCAAAAACGATTGCATAGTCATATTTATTCAGACTTTTTTATTAAATATTTCTGATTATTGCTAGCTACCAGACACTGTTAATTATTTTAAAAACGCCATATTAAATATATTGTAGAGGATAAAACCTACCTCTTATTAAAACCACTTAAATTATTGAACATGGTATTATAATACAATTATGTATGATATTATAATGCTATTATACATGGGAGTAACGAAGTAAATAAATTTGTTTTCAGTAAAATGTTTCAAATTTGTGATATGAAATAGCACTCCCGATTAGCCGATTTTAACGATAAATAAATTCTAATGTCCCAGGTATATACATACCTTAAATGCTTAATTTGAATTATAATCTTTATACGACTTTTCATTTTTGATCTAGACAAAACACCTACACACACATACAGACCATTTTGCTAGACTTGGTTATTTGATATCAGAGGAACACAATACGTCTATGTCTGTTGAAAACTCTAATTCAACAATTTTTATGATCGCAATACTCAATATTATCCCTCAATATATATTAAAAATATATGTAAGTGAAAGTAAAAAGATGAAACTATGTCTTTCCAGCCGTGGTGGCAGTAGTGCAATATGTCTTTAAACGAGACTTATTAATCTGGCTAAGTTAAACTTCAGCCTTCTTCTGTTGAAATCGACAACTTGAAAAAATTGATCATGTTTTAATTCTACATTTATGTGATACTTATTTTACAAAATTCGTTTCTATAAGACTATAAGGAAGCTTTATAATTATTATGTGGTATAAAAATTAAAAAAAGAAAATAGATCGATGTTCTAGAATATAGAACAAAACTACTTTCTTTATTCACGATTTATTTCACTAAATAAAATTCATTTTATGAGAACAGATCTTATAAGCGTTTTTATTTTACGGCTTCTTAAGTTTATGTTCATAAGCTTATGTGACTATTACATAGGCTTAAAATAGTATATTAAGCGGGTCTATAAGCGAAAGTACTGGATGAAATTGATATGGAACCATCTAGATACCAGTAGTGTTGCCGAAAATGGGTCTTGTTCTTGCAAAGACCGGCTAAATGTTGCAAGACCAAAATCAAGACTGATGAAAAAAAATCGTTTTGATGAATAAAAATTAAGGCAAAATAGTTACTATTGCTTGACTATCTTTGTTACTAAAATACTTTTGTATTTAACTGTTCCAATTTTTCATTTGCGCTTATTTAGGTTTCTTCTACCTGAAATATTAGAGTAATATCTCAATAGTAATAAGCTAAAAGGCAATTTAAAGACTGTTTCGAGACTCTTGTGCAAGAAGAAGACCAAGACCAAGACTCGTCATAGTCTCGTATTTGGGCAACATTAGTTACCAGCCCTAATAATTTCTAAAAATTTTATAAAAACCCGATTAATAGTGAAATAAGATGTGTCCATCACATAAATTTGACTACACAGAGACAAAAAGAAACAAATTCGCTCTTTGGCATTCAAAATGTAGAACGCGATCGGAAATTTTTGATACGGAATTCAAATTTTTTTTAACACTTAAACCGCACGGATACAAAACTTCGTTACCTTGAGGACTGAGGAAGCAAACAAATTCTTTGTTATATTAATTAATAACGTCATAAATTTGAATAATAAATGATGTGATAATATTTTATAATGCATTCAATTTAAAAAAAATATTAATTCATACCTGGGTGAGAACAGTTTCATAATATCCGGAAAAGTATTCACAAGTGCCAGTTTTATCCTGGTAGAATTCTTAAGTTTAAATATCTCTATTCCAATTTTCCTGAATTCCGAGTTAGGATTTGAAATGGAATCCATATCCATGCCGAAAGCGCACGAACCGATGATATCAGTAGAAAAACGAGCAGTTATATCTTTTACGTCAATTACTTTGTTAACATTTGTCTGAAGAATTGAGTCCAAACTCTGGAAAATAAATTGTCAATTTTTAATTCTGCATGCGTTTGGAGATTCGACATTGTTTCTCCAACATTTATACATTTATATGCGGTTTTATACCTCTGAGCACGAGAGGAACAAAGGAAACATCCCTCTCAACTTGCCAGAAGTGAAGGTAGCAGTGAGCTTCGTCCTTAATGCCCTCCACTGTTCTCCTTCCAAGTTGAACAAGTGATGGGTGAGGGGTTCTCGGGATCTGTACAAGGATGAGTTCCTTAACGTACAAAAACAGTAAACACAAACATTATTGTTATTAAATTCTATTGAACCTCTTAAATGGTTGTCTGTCGCGGAAGTTGAAGAACGAACTTGCAAGCACGAATCGGATCATTTCAGGATCTCTCATAACAAGGAACGGAGTTCTCATTATATGTACTCCGAAGAATGGTTGAGATGAACATTTTCGATACAGCTAGAAACAAAAAAAACTTGTTAGACTTAAAAATAAACCATAAAAAATCATAGTGGCTTGTAAAACTCTCAACTACTAAAAGTAAAATCAGACTCAATGGCGTCAATACTTTTGAACTGGATTCTTGGTTATAATTTTCGAGTTAACTATTTCTCTACAACAGAGATAATGCAATGAAAATATGAAAGGAGTACCTCAGACCAAATATCTCCCTGAAAGCCTCTCTGAAGGGCGAGGTCCCTGGAACTTCCGAACGGAAAGACTGGAGGAATGTGAGGGATATCCCTGTCTTTCCAGTAGCTGTAGTTGGATGTCCAGAATTTGTACAGCAGGAAGAAAGCCAGTGCGACTAGATATATTGTCATAAACATCGTGATAAGTTGTAGCGCCAAAGTTTGCTTCAATTGCTTTGTTTCATATGCTTAGGCACAAGCTAGTGGCAAAACAAAAGTATTAATAGTAAAAAGTACACAATGTTTATAATTATTTTGTTAGAGGGTGTCATAAAATGTTATTGCACGATATGTTAATTGTTACGAGAAATTTGTTTAAATTGCCTTGACGTCGATAAACTAAAACTACACTTTTCACATTTGTAACCATACCAATAAATAAAAATTAATTAAAGATGATTTGAAAAATTTGATTTATTATAGTTAATATTCTATGGACTGAAATCATTATCTTACTATATGTCTTTAAACTAATATCTTCAAACTAGGATCTTTAAAACAATCCTAAAACATTTATCAAAAATAGAAAGACTGTCAGGAAAAAAAAGAAAGAAAAAAAAGAGAACTACCCAATCAGCTAGAGGAAGATGGAGGCAGTCTAGTGAACGGTTCATCCTCGGCCATTGTTCACAGAATCAGTGTCAACGAGATTCTGCTTCATTGATAGTCGTTATTGAGTCTCAACTTCAGGCCAACGAACGGTTTTCTTCATCGATGTCCAGATTTTAATATTAACACTTTTCAATTGATTGTTTTGATTTTCAAAATCACTAATAAATTCTAGGGTATTTGATTTTTTCTACTCTCGGAAATGATTATCCTTCTAAGCAGAATCTGTTATTGGGGTGGAATTTTCGGCGTATTATCATATATTTTGTTTTGTCTTCATTTTCTTGTAAGTCGATCTGCTCTGCCTCTCCTTTCAGAGTCTTAGCGAGGTTCTCAATGCCCTCTTGATAATTTCCGAGGACAGCTGTGTCATCTGCGCATCCAAGGATTTTATGATTCATTCCGTCGTGGAACGTCCATTTTCCTGTGATGTTGCTCTTATTACCTTTCCAGGGCTAAAGTTGAACAACATCGGTGATAGTCCATCCCCCTGTTGTAAGCCCTGTCGAATTTTGAAGACTTCAGATACTATCATTGTCAATTTCGATAAATAAATAATTCGCAGTTATAATGTTTTTTTTTATAAGGCTGCCAGACCTGGACATTAAACTACTCCCTAATAAGTAATATTTTAGAGAAATCACTCGACGTGAATCAATCTATTAAGCTGTAAGTTGAACTTAAAAAGGATAAGTTATGTAATCTGATTAACAGTCTTGATCTAAGAGTAACAGAGTTATTTATAAAAGAACTACCACCATGACAGTTACACAGTGGCGTATCTAGGTAGAGTGAAAAGAGGGGAGGCGGATCACCACTTATGGAGGGGGCCACTGCAGGGATTTTTTTAATTAAACAACATCTAAATTAAAAAAGAAAAGTGACAATAATTTGTTTTAGTAGTTTGCTAATTGTTGGTCATTTTCTCTTAGTGTATTCATAAAATAATCGTATCAAAGATAACCCATTCATGACCCGAAGCATATAATATGGGAGAATATGTATAATTTTTATTTACTTGATTTGTTTTAAGGAAGGCTTCATATTATATTTATAATCATTTAGTTGGCTAATTATTCTACTGAATCTTGGAAACAATAAACATAACTTGTTGTTCTGGATCAAAGAATTTCAGGATTTAAAATATATGAGAGACCTTATATCTTTAACAAACCATGGCAATTGAATCAAGCAAGGAAGAGGTACTGTTGGGTGCTATCCATCCCCGTGTCCTAGCATATCAGTTTCATTAATCAGACCATCTGCTGATTCCCAATAATTCATCGACAGATGCCGATAAATATTTGAAGTTAATATATATATATATATATATATATATATATATAAAGTTTTAATAATATTTATTTTATATTTTTATGAGTGATAAAAAGTAAATTCGCCTTGGGCTGCAAATGTTCTAGGTATGCCCCTATCGATACATTGAGACTGATCCTAATATGTTCCTTTCGCTTCTGGCGATCAACATACAGACATACTAACTATTCGTTTAGGACGAAATGTATCTTGAAAATGTGTTAGGATGTTGGAGCTCGAAGCAGATGGTTCGAGAAAAATAGAATATTGGAGCCAGGTAGACTAGGGAGTGGACAGTCACCCTCAATATAGCTATATTATAAATAAAATAGGCGTTTATTAATGAGACTAGGTATTAACCGAAAGTCAGAACTTTGCCAACTGACTGACTATAATATAAATTGTCATGGGAAGCAAACAAGAAACTTGAGAAATGCGAACCATAACGAAGTTTGTACGTCAATAACTTGTTGTTTTTTGTGGCAAAAAAACAAGGAAAGGTATGAGTAAGGTCAGATTACAGACATCCGAGTTATTTCCTCAGCCGCTAGAGGAAAAACAGTGATGTAATGTTTTAAACAAAGACCACTCGAATCCGCGTACCGATTGTTATTAACAACACACGAGTTTTTCGGACTTCCGATGTTTTCTTGTTCAACTGTCGACATTTTTATTAGTTTTATCGATTTTAAGTCCCATTAGGGCTGTGTATAGTTTAACTGCTGAAAGTTAAATAACCCAACAATTTATAAATATCATTGATGTATTAAACTAATTATACTACCGCAAGTGCTATCAAGGAACTGAAACATTTCCCTAAGGTATTATAATTAATTGTTTTTAATTGAGGAAAACAAACGGTGCTTAGAAGCAAGAGGCAACGACATCTAGAATTTTTTCATGAAATACATTTTCACACCTAAAAAATCTTAGACCGTGAGAATTGCGAGAGATCTTAGATACAGATTTCCGAGAGATCACGATCGTTGGGTAACATGAAACCTTGGATAATTTAGAATGTACAGATTACTTCAATCTTTAAATAAATCAAAGATTTTTTACCAAGTGATAATGTAGAAGCGGTACCTTGAAGAAAGCCGAAAGATGAGTTGCTGCCAGCAGTCCTTTGCAGACTAAAGCTAGCGGGGAGATGTTCTAGTCTTTTGTTCTATTGAAGCATGCCTTTCTCTGCTGCTTCCATTTGTCGTTAAGCTTTCTTCGTCATTGATAACATGCTATAATATACTAATTTAACAACCATTGTTAAAACTATATCTAACAAGGTCGATTTGTAAATAATTCGATAAATAATAAAATGAAACAGGAAGAAAATTATTAGAGCATTTAAGTTATTTGAACTATGAAGATTCCTGTTAATACAAAAGAGAACATTAATAATAATTGAACCGTCGCACAATGCGGCAGGTTGCGAATTTAGCACATCTTGCGAATCGAATGATTTGTAAACTATTTCTTATCTAAAACCAGTGTTTTCTATATTTCACAAAAATTTTAAAACAAAGATATAACATAACATAATAAAATATAACTTATACCGAGATCATAGATTTATTTTTCATTTTCTAGTATTAAATATACGTATTCGTATATGCCATTACAAGAAAATTCATAACACTAACTTAATATTCTAATTTTTACTTCCACTTTCCTAAATATGTAATCTATAAGTAAGAGAAAGTATCGCAGTCATAAAAATTATCAAATCTCAGTTTTCAACGGAAATACACGTTTTAAGGTACTCTGAGTCCAAATATCCAAGTCCCGAAAAATGGTCTGTGTGTTTGTATGTTTGCAGTCTAGCTCAAAAACTAAAAGTCATACGAAACTGATATTACGAATTTAAGATAGGTATATGCCTTAGATGTGACAGCAACCTTTTCCTTAAAATCGGCTAACTGGAAGTGCCACTTTATATCAACAGTGAAACATATTTTTACAATTTTCTCAAAAAAGGCTCTAACGATTTTGATTAAACTCGGTGTATCATTGTATAATTAAATGGTCTTTAATATCATTTAGGTGTTATCCCCGTTGATGTCACTTTACAGTGTTTAAAAACCCAATGTTCATATTCGTCTTTCTCTAAAGTAAATTTAATATGTTTTTTTTTAAATAATTAACTATCTCTCATTATTAAGAGTTGCGAAAAAATGCTAAATATAATTTTTGAAAAAATTTGTTAATTGAATAACAGAGAAAAACATAAAAATGCTTATCCAGGTCGAAAATGAATCTCCGGAAATACTAGCCAGAAGGTATACATATAATATATCGTTGGAAAGCAATTTTAGAAAAAACAATATCTAATATAGAAAGTTGAAAGTTAAAATAACATTATTTAATCACATGTTTTCAAGGAAATTAAATGAAATTTATTGACTAAATGTAAACTTCTGAAATATTTTTAAATTCGAAAAAAATATTTAAAATACACCTAATCAAGGCTATGACATAGTTTAAAAAACTATTTCATTGTACTTGTGTGAAAGAAGAAGTAAAATATAAAATCATTTCATGGATGTATGAAGCATATGTTTATAACCTTAAATACATTTACTGTAGTTTAATAATTCTATATCTGATATTAGATTTAAATAATCAGATATCAACGTTTGTTTATTCCGAAATATTGTCATGCAACTTTTTAGAAAATTAAATTAGTAAATAATTTGATGAATCTTCCCTTTGTGATATTGGAACAGTACCCACTACTATTCCATTGTACTTATGTGAAATAATAACAATAAATTTATTTATTGAGAAATTTTACAAATACCTTTTGGCATATTCTGCAAATGTGATTTTCGTTAGCGAACTTCCTCTCCAGGATTAGCGTGAATGCGTGATTGGAGAAGCCTCCCACTGAAGTCACTCCTAACGTGATTCTTCTTAATGCAGTAGATCGCAGCTCCAGAGGCGTTTGAATCTCCTTGGTGGATTCTGTGGTAGTGTGTCTGTTAGTAATGTTTGTACAAGTGGATTAGGATGCCCAGCTTAGGAATCATGGAAATGTGTGTAATATTTTTTAATTACTTCAGTCACTTGTGGTGTTTGTAGGTCTTTATGAAGCGATTTATTGGTTATGTAGAAGGGGCAATGAGTGATATACCGGAAAAATTTAGATTGAAAAAAATTGAATAGTCTGTAAGTGTGTTTTTTTTTTGCATGAACCCCAAACCTGAGAGACATTCGTC